GTACAAATTCGACTTAAGGACAGACCTTGGGAAGGGAACTTGTTCTTAAAACTGGGGACTACCTGTATTTTATTGTATGCACGTAAACACAGTTTTCTGAGAAGGGGTCCAAAGGTTTCACCAGACTCTCAAAGGGGTCCACATCAGAAAAAAGGTTTAAGAACCTCTTTTTATGAATGCATTCTGACTCCCTGCTTCTTCCTACTTCTCTCGCACAATTGCTCACTGCTCTGAGCCCATTCAGCATCACCTCCCCGAAAGAGATGGGCCAAGGTTGATGTGAATTAATGCTCCGTCCCCATAGTTCTTTTCCTGGCTTGCCCCCCTGAGCAAGGCAAGCAAAGAGGCAGCCGCGGTCAGGAACAGCAGCCGCAGTGGGCAGGGAATTTCAGTAGCCCCCCTACTGGGGACAGGAAACCTAGCTGGTGCCTGACTGACACCGGCTGCTGCCCGGGTGCCCAGGCTACAGCATTGTCGGGTACCTGCGCCTGGTCATCAATCCCCTTCTTGATGCGATCCCCCAGCACAATCAGGACCGACACGGCCATCTGCACGTCCCCTTGCTCGGCGTAGAAGAGCAGCATGTCGTGGACGATGGGGTTGAAGAAGTCAGTCGGCAGGCGATTCTCGTAGAGGGAGTGTGAAATGGAAATGAGGGAGAACGATTCCACGGGGGTGAGAGACACGGTCTCCGCCTCGTTGCCGCTGACATGGGGCGAGTCAGCTTTGTCCTGTAGGTGGTCCAGGGCAGAGGGGTTGTCCACGATCTCGTGGCGTAACGGAAAGGCTTCCTGCGGAAGGATATATTCTTGCTCTTCAGCTGCAGGAAGACATGGACCCGTGAGGGAGGGAAGAAAGCAGGGAAACCCAAACAGCCCCATTCTCTCCTCTTACCCCTGGCTAAGCAAAGAGGAAGAGCAGGGAAGGCACTCACGGTGAGGATTCTCGTGGTCCATCATGTACAGATCATCCTCGTCAGCTTCCACATCCCCCAGGAGATAATCTGCAGGAACATCGCTTCCTTCAGTCTCCTCGTTCTCTAGACATCCAGGAAAGAAAAAAGAGGAAAATACGCTGACAAATAGAACTGCAGGGTTGGCGGGGGGGGGGGGGGGGGAGGTTCTGGCCATCCTGCTCAGCGCAGGGATTCAGAGCAAAGCACCCCTGATAGATGACAATTTAGCCTCCACTCGAACAAAACCACCAAGGAGAGGCTCACACCTTCAAGGTTCGCCGTTGAATGGCTCTGCTAGTTTCCTGATGTTTGATCAGAATTTGTCTTCCTCCAACGTGGATCCATTTTTCCACATCCTGCACACTGGCAGAAGATCGTACCTTCTTCTAGGGAGCCGAATACTCCTATTCAGGAGTATACCTGAGTACTCCTTCAGGTACTGAATGCCTGGCGTCCTATTCTGCTTCCTCAGCTGTCTTCTGCCTGGACTGACCACACCCGCTTCCCTTGGCCTCCCCGGTACAGCTTTCAATCCCCTTCTAGAATGGCTCACCATCATTATTGATCAGAGTTGAGGATGAATCCATGAGGATGGCTTCAGGACGGTTCTCCCCCTTGGTCCTCTCCAGCCTTGACTCGGTGCCTATTCCAGAGGGAATATCTTTCAAGTTAAAGCTGGGAGAGAAGCAGAACATGCTAAGTCCACAGTGAAACTCTCATTCCCATGTCCCCTTCTCCTTCATGGCCCCAATGCTTGCAATTTTGGCCAAGTGAGATTGTTTTTAATTCAGAGTCTGTCACTGACTGAGCTAGCTTTATTTATTTAACTAACTTCTTTTTCTTTGTTCCCATCTGGCGTTGTTATGGCTGCCATCTTTGTTCTTTTTTGTTTGAATGTTTAACCATTTATAAGCTGCCCAGAGTCACTGGGAGTTGGGTGGC